CCCTGAGCCAGGGAAACCCCAGGAGCAGATCGACCCCACAACACACGGGGGCGCCCTGAGCCAGGAAGCATGCTTCAGTTCTGTCTCACGTGGTCATCATGAATAGGAATGAACTTGAAGGTCACTGACAAGAGCATCCCTCTAGCAGAACAGGGTGGTAGACACCTCCTGAGCCGAGGGGTCATGACTGACACTGTCCCTGACAGGCTGCACTGAGAAGGTCCAGCCCAGGGGGTTCCAGCAGAACATGTGAACAGCGAGTGTGGGGTCCATGCTGGGAAAGCAGTCCTGGGCTCTGAAAGGCCACGGCCGAGGAGCTGGCCAACATGAGGCAGCAGAAGCGACCTGACAACCAGGAATGTGGACGATGATGTCAGGCTCCCAAGCCAGAGGGAGAGAGGCCTAGGCCCCCTGGGCAGATGGACCTTGGGGCTGGGAAGGCACTGGGCTGGCATGGAGGTGCCCGGGGCTGTGATGGACAGGGAACCATGTTAACAGGTCTCCCTGGTTAAGCAGCAGGCCTTGTATTTAAGGTTAACAGTTGCCAAAGGACCAGGGGTAGAGAGTGCCGACGTCTGCAACACTGTAGCCTTGACCATTACTACCTGCTACAGCTGTTGTTGTTGTTGTGTGTCATCGAGTCACTTGCAACTCACAGCGACCCTATGCACAACGGCCCTAAACCCTGCTCTGTCCAGTGCCAATCTCCCTGTCTCTAACACACCCACCCCCATTACCCCCCGTCACTGAATCAATCCGTCTCCTAGGTCATCTTCCTCTCCTGCACTGTCCCTCCACCCTCCCAAGCATGACGTCCCTCTCCAAGGACTGGGCTGCTCCTTGGAGGCAAGGATTCTGACGCTTCATCTGACATACTTTGGACATGTTGCAAGGAGGGACCAGTCCTGTTACAGTAGCAGCAGCTAATACCGTGTCTTCACAGCCTTCAGGGCTGGTGGAAAGAAACCCTTCAGGTCTAGAACTGTACTCACCCCCAGGTTTAACCTCCAGCCAAATAACTCAAACTGAGACATGCACTGCTGTCAAGTTAGGACTGACTCAGACGCGTCTGCAGAGGCTGTAAATCCAGTGGAAGGCGAGTGACCATCTCCCCTGCGGGTGGATCCGAACTCTGGGAGAGGCACAGCCTTTGGGCCGGCATCGCGGCTCTGTTCTGACTAAGAGCCGCAGCCGGAGCAGCCCAGCCAAACTGCAGACAAGCCAGGAAGGTGAACCACATCACGGAGGGCCCTTGCTTAGACCAGGCACTCGGGATCTGCCGCCCATGGAGAAAGCTCAGAAGGCAAGTGGGATGGGGGCTGTGGAGCTCCCCCAGAATGAAGCAGGAAACACACAGGAGCGGGAGCTCTGACCCGACCACATCGCCCTCTTCTTCCACAGAGATTACAGCCTTGGAGACCCTCCTCCGTCCTCTGAAGTCTCCATGAATCACAATCAAATGCTGGCAGTGGTTTGTTTTGGAATTTTTTTTACAGAAGCAGATCACACAGCCAGGCATTTCCTCTGGGGAGCTGCTCGGAGGATGGGTTTGAACCACTAACCTTTAGACTACTATGTTCAATACTACCGAGTAACTTTAAACAACAAGCCCTGGTGGCCCTGTGTTTAAGCACTCGGCTGCTAGGGAAGAGATCAGTGATGTGAACGCACCAGGCACTGGGCAGGAGAAAGGCGGGGCCTTGCACTCTGCTGTTCCCCACTGCCGTGAGCGGGCATCCCCTCAGGACTCTCCTGTCTGTGACAACTGCCCCATGGCTGCCCCACTCCCGTCAGGCCCCAGCACAGCCCAAGCTTGAAGCCCTCACTCCCTCCCACGCCAGCTGGCATCGCTGCCACTCACAGCAGCCGACCGACAAATCTGGGTGTCATCTCAGGCGCCTCTGGGCATCTGCCCATCAGGATCCTGTTACCGCCTCAGTGACTTCCCAGGCAACGCTGGGCACCCTGCACACGACAGTCGCCCGGTGGCGGGGACAACGACACGGCGAGTGAGGAACGGGCCCAGCATCAGGCAGCCATCGGCCAGGCTGAACAGAAGTCACACTCCCCGACTCAGGCCTGGACGGTGAACAATCACCCGGGGGGGAAATGCACGCACCCTTTGGGACAATCAACCACACACTGTCCCGGGCAGCACTAGCCCAGGAAGAAGGATCAGAAGGCAGGAATGGAGAGGACAGGTGGAAACGGGACACACAGGGAAGGAGTGGGGAGAGTGCTGTTACAAGGTGGGCTTTGCAACTAAGGGGACGACACAAGATGTGTGAACCAAGGAGAGGGATGATTTGCTTTGTAAACGTCCACACCAAACACAGTAAAGTCTCAAAAGAAGAGAAGCCACGCTCTTCCCCACTCACGCCTGCTCCCAGGGGCCCCGCCCCCAAAAACACTGCCCCTCAGACCCAGGGATGCGGCTCACAGCCCTGCCCCACCCAGTCTGCAGCCACATGGCTTGAGGACAATTTGAATGTCCCCCCAAAGCTCAGGAATGCAACAGAGACCCCTCCAAAGAGTCACAGGAGGAGATGGGACACCAGCCCCATTGCTGATGGGTCCTGAACAATAATTTCTGGGGTGCAGGAATGGTGGTACCCAGCCTCCATGGAGACCCGGCTGGAAGCCAACAGCGACCTCTCTAGGGACTGAATACAGCCAAAGGCTGAGCTTCAAGGGTTCAGGGACCCTGTGCTCAAAGGGTGTGGGGTGCCCTGAGAGAGGCCTGGTGCCGTGGTGGTTAGCTGAAGGTCAGCGGCCTGAACCCACCAGCTGATCTGAGGGGCCACTGCTGCAAAGACGCACAGCTTTGAGCTCTACAGGCCAGTTCTGTCTCGCTGGGTGATGAGCTGGACTCTGCCAAGGGGCCCAGCGGGACTGGCCACATTTTCCCAGAAACCATCAGACTTCGGTTAGCAGTCAAATGCTCCATCTGTGGAGCCACCAGGAAACCTACTGGTGACAGGTAACTGCCGACACCTGCGTGGACCAGCCCACCTGAGGGGCTCCCGAAGGCTCCGGACCTTTACGGAAGCTGGACGCCTCCTCTTTGAACCGGAAAGTGGCTGGTGGACTGGAACTGCCAACCTCCCAGTGAGAAACCCCGCGCTTCATCCAGAAACCAGGACTGTGGCTGGGTGTCTAGTCAGCTCTTGGCTCAGTGACCCTGGGGACAGCAGACAACTCTGGGAGCCGCTCAGCCCCTTCCCCTCTGGGTCAACGAGGCCAATGCTCGGATGTGGACTGGACTTCAAGACTCTGAGCAGACAGGCAGCCTGCTTGACGCTACCAGATGTGTGGTGTTAGGCTGCCATTGGGAATGAATAATCACCCATTTCACAGGGGGGAACACTGAGGCATTTCTAAGAAATAAAGCAGCTCTTTTGAGTCCCAGAGGTCTGACTTCAAAGCTCCTGACCCAGGACCCCAGGGCAGACCAGTGGGGACCACTCCCCCACAGATGACTCCCAGGGGCCCACCTCGGTGGGCGATCTCGGCCTTCAGCAGCCCCTCCATGGCATCGGACTCGGCCAGGTCCAGGGGCAGGTCCCCATCGCTGTTGACAGCGGCGATGTTGGCCCCGTGGTTCAGGAGGTACCTGGGTGGAGGCGAGGAGGTCAGGGCTGCCGAGCCAGACCCCCGCCCGGTGGAGGCCCTGCCCATCCTCCCAGCCTCACCTGGCGATGTCCAGGTAGCCACAGGAGGCGGCCACGTGCAGGGGCGTCCAGCCCTCGTTGTCCGCCTGGTTCACAGTGGCCCCCTGCTCCACCAGGAAGCGCACCACCTCCAGGTTCTCATCTATGCAGGCCTGGGGACAAGGAGGGCAGTGAGCCTGTGGTCCATCATATGCTGGACATGGTGGAGGGAGCAGGGCTCCAGGAGGGGGCACAGCACGCAGGTGCAGAGGGCTGGCTGTGCACTCCAAGCCTTGGTGATGGGCAGGTGTGTGGGCATTGGGAGCCCAGGGGGACAGTGCCACCGACACTCCGGAATGCCCAGGGAGAAAAGACTTCCCTCTCGGAGGCAAGAACCCAGAGGGGGCTGTGGG